GAACCGCTGCTATAGGACGATAAGGAAGACAACCGGTCAACAATATAACTACTGCCAGCTCCTTGGTTACCCTTGTCTGACCGAATAGTGGGACTTGATCGTCCCTTTCATAATGTAGCAGTAGCCCCAAAGTGCGGCGTGCGTTTTTGCTGCAATGGACCTCAAATCATGAACCCTCGGATTCACAGTACAAGTTCGCAAATCACTTGGCCACCCCCGACTACCGTGTTTAGTAAACTGGATATAGTCTTTTACACGAAAGTTACAGTTCCTTTTAATACACTGTTCGATGAATTACTGAATGTATTCAATATACCAAAATAGAGAGCCTTTGACAACTTAATCCAATATGGATGAAGTTATTCCATTTCAATCAGATCGATAACATTAATCCAGTAAATCGTTATTAAATGTCTTCCTGTAACTCAACGCTAAAAATTAGATTTGATATCCGCAGTGGACATAGCGCAGATAGCCTTTATGTTTAGCTTTGTGTTTGACAACAAACAAAATCGTTATAAAATATATAATTTTATCTTTATTTTCCTTAAAGACTTTATACTTAGATGTTATTTACATTGGAACTTAATTGTATGACATTTTTGTATTACATTTTATTGTGTTTTTACTCTGAATAAACCGAAAAATCAAACTGTTAAAACAAGATTTTTTTGAAGTGATAAAGACTGTACATGCCTACGGTGTTCATGTCTTTCAAACTGCCTTAGTACATTACAAGGCCGATCGAAGGATCCGGGGTTCGAGATGTAATACCGCTGACTTTGCACTTTCAGCTATGGATACTTTATATAAGTGACAGTAAATATTGTTATAACAAAACGTAAAATGTTCATCCAGCGGGAAGTGCTATTGAGATCCTACATTTTTCCAGTGTGATCATAGTTCAAAATTAAGGACCTGAGCCTTAAAGGTCACTCCGTTCAGCCTACTTGCGCATAATGTGATACTCATGTTGAAAATTCTAACTCCATTACGAGGCCGACGTTTGCTACTACTTAATACCTGTGCATTCTTTCAAAGAGAATTCTGTATTTCTGTATTTTATATTAGTGGGACTTCTTTATTTACTAATAGACAATGAGGGAAGAGTAAGTTAATGGTTTAGTTCAGGGCGATTATCTAGATTCGTTATCATCTCTGATCCTATCGGAATCAAAGAATTGTAAATTAATTGTATCATCAAAGTTGTGGTTCACTATGGTCCAATAGAAAACTCGACTACTTGATGAATACTGTACAGCGCTTCGTAAGGATCGCTTTAAGTAGCTTAAGCGTCAGTTGACGATTTTTTTAAGCTGTTCACACCATCAAAACAGTATTCCGAGATTATAGCGATAATTCGGTATATCGTGAATTATAATCATATCTTCTTTGGTAATCTATTTCTAACTGTTTCAATTATTTTGCATTTCATTTTAGATTTATTTGCATAAATGTTCTGCTAAGCAGCTATGACATGCTTTGTAGTTTGTGTATTTCTATGAAACTGGGAAAAAATTGTACTTTCTAACTATAGTTGTGAACATTAAAGTCTTTGGATCTGATTTAGGCCTAATAACGTAAAGTCGAAGTAAACTAAGTCAACTCAGTCTTAAGATTTGTTGGTTATATTAATACAAAGTTTAGTAAGTTATATTAAAACGATTTTGAAAATACAAAGCTGTTTCTATGGCATAACAGCTCAACTGCCGCATACCACAAGGAGACTAGTCTGAATCAGGTATTTATAAACTATCCATACGATCGGAGTGTTGAAATTGGGGCTGAGAAACCGTCGTTCTCATATACCAAAATATTATGGAGAGAACAGGGAAGATGGGCGGTGCTTTGGACATGACAACCTTACGACGGAGCCTTTTCCAATGGAGAGTACGCTGCAGAGCTATTGTAAAGATGCACGGTCGTTAAATAGAACTTGATCAGACATGGCGAAAGGGACTATGATGACATCGTTTTGATATAATGTAATCAACCTTTATAGTTTTTCTGCAAAAAAAAAAAACATTCAATTTAATTTCTATGTCAAAACTGTGTTAACAACTGGACAGCGCAATAAATAATACATTATTTTTTTGTTAACTGTCTGCCAAAGGTCACATTTCCCTATGTTTATTTTTCTTTATTTTTTGTGAGTGTGCTGTTTGAATTTTCGGTATAAAATATTGTAAGTTACTAGGAGACAGGGTTTTACTTTTCTGACGCCTTCGATTATCTCGTGTTGTTTTTTTTTAATTTACTTTCAGGATTTTCAAATTCGTTAGAGTAAAGATCTGAAACATAAAATTCAATATTTGAGTACGTTATTATTCCCGTTCTGACTATTGTCACCAGCACTTTGTTGCAGTCTTTTACTGTATATTATCTGCTTTGTTGTATCGTGGACAAACAATAGGTTCGTTTCACATTGTTAGATGGTCACGTGGTTTGACAATGACTGGGGTTTAGGCAGAAAATCAGCGTTCGAACAGTCTGAAGTCTCAGATCGAAACCTTCATGTGCTAGTAAAGATAGCAGGAGATGTCACTTGGGTACCACAATCTCTTTATCTGACCATTCATTGGTGAATAAGATAAATAATAAGGAAACTGAAACCTGCGGTGAGAGACACGCTTGAATTCGTGACGTCAACAAAGTCTATAACTAAGTCGCCTACGGAGCGTCGTTCCAGGGCTTTGTTAGATTCAATTCATCAACCAGGCTGACTTCACGCTTGGGCAACTGCAAGGCGTTTAATTACTGGTCGTAATTTCATTAGCGATATTACGTTTGTTATGAAGTAGGTGACTGTTTTAATGGATAGATATTGAAGTTGTTCCCACTAGTTTCAAACAGTGTTACACACACACCTACTTAACTTCTCCGAGTTGGAATAGATTCACTTGTTTTTATTGTGATAATAACGATAAATTATTTCACATTTTTTAAAAGTTAAAACAGACGAGTATCAATTTAATCTCTTGTTTTAAAACAATGTCTTCCCTCTCAAGTTTTTAAAACAATGTTTTCCCTCTCAAGTTTTTAAAACAACGTTTTCCCCTCAAGTTTTTAATACAATGCATTTCCCCTCAAGTTTTTAAAACAATGTTTTCCCTATCAAGTTTTTACAACAATGTTTCCTCCTGAAGTATTTTGAAAACAATGTTTTCCCCCCTCAAGTTTTTAAAACAATGTTTTTCCTCTCAACTCAGAGAATGAGATATACATTCCGATTTATTTTCTTTGTATCGAATTCAAATGCTGCTCTTTCTTATTTATTCTGTATTGGAAAAACATAAATCTTTAACAGAGTATAAACAGGTTTTATATTCTATAATAATCGACAATGATTTATTTCTAACTTGTTATCCTTATTTTTTTAAAAAGTGAAAATTAGTTTTAATAAAACTAGGAAATTATAATTAATATAATTGTTTAAGCATGCTTAGCTTTTTACCAGAACATTTTTTGCCTAAAGTTGTACTAAGCCAATTTAGAAACCACAATTGATTTATTGTAAAGTATGTATGTTTCTACGTACTTTTTCCCTAAACTACGTATGTTCCTACAGAAGATTTACTGTAAGCTATGTCTGTTCCTGTGCATAATATTTATTGTAAAATATGTATGTGTCTGTAAATAATATTAACTGTTGCTTACTGTAAGCTAGGCATGTTCATTTGCTAAATATTTAATGTAAACTGTGTATGTTCCTACAAAGATTTACTGTAAGCTATGTCTGTTCCTCTGTATAATATTTATTGTAAAATATGTATGTGTCTGTAAATAATATTAACTGTTGCTTACTGTAAGCTATGTATGTTCATTTGCTAAATATTTAATGTAAACTGTGTATGTTCCTACAGAAGATTTACTGTAAGCTATCTGTGTTCCTATACATAACACTTACTGTAAGCTACATATGTTCCTGTATATAATATTTACTGTAAGCTACATATGTTCCTATACATAACACTTACTGTAAGCTACATATGTTCCTGTATATAATATTTACTGTAAGCTATCTGTGTTACTATACATAACATTTACTGTAAGCTACATATGTTCTTGTATATAATATTTACTGTAAGCTATCTGTGTTCCTATACATAACACTTACTGTAAGCTACATATCTGTGTTCCTATACATAACACTTACTGTAAGCTACATATGTTCCTGTATATAATATTTACTGTAAGCTATCTGTGTTGCTATACATAACATTTACTGTAAGCTACATATGTTCTTGTATATAATATTTACTGTAAAATATGTATGTTCCTGTAGATAATATTTACTGTAAAATATGTATGTTCCTGTAGATGATATTTACTGTAAACTATGTATGTTCCTACATGATATTTCCTGTACATTATATGTGTTCCTACATAATATTTCCTGTAAACTATGTGTATTACTATGCATAATATTTACTGTAAGCTATGTATGTTTCTACATAATACATTCTGTAAGAAAACATAGTTTAAAATAAATATTATGTATAGGAACATACATAGTTCCTATACATAATATTTATTTTAAACTATGTTTGTTCCTATACATAATATTTATTTTAAACTATGTGTGTTCCTACAGAAAATTTACTGCACACTATGTTCGTTCCTGCAGACGTTTTACTATAAACTAGGTATGTTACTACAAACAATTTACTGTAAACTATGTATGTGAAGTTCCTACAGAAAATGTACCGTACACTTTTTCTATTTAGTAATTCTAATTTCCAGTTCTTAAAAACACATTTAAAGAATCACTTAGGAATATTTTCTATGTATGTTTAATGCTTATTAATTTGGAACGTATTTCATTTACTTGTTGAAGGTTCTCATTTTGAAACGTTTCCTACTTGGGATTCTTATAGAACATGTTCATCTTCTTATTGGAGGATATTTTAGGCCAAAGTTACACGATATCAGTCTGAAAATTCATAATCTTTGTGTTTATTTAGAACACATGAGAGAATTACTCAACATTTTTATCTCTGTTATTTTGTGGCTGGAAGTAGCGTAGTGGTTGGCGTGCCAGGACTGGGAATCTAAGGATTCATGGTTCGCGTTAAGTTGTCTCAAAACTCTTTCCTCGCTTTGGGGACGTGACTGTCAACTCCCGTTATTCGGTCAGATGAGCGCAGTCTAAGATTTGGCAGCTGAGGTTGTCGACTAGGTGCCTTCTCTCTAATCTGTAAATTGAAAATTAGGAACGTTTGTGCGTTGATATTCCTTTTGTAGCTTTGTGAGAAAATTCTCAAACAAACACATCGTTATTTTGTAATAGAAATCTTGTTCGATCTGTCTCTAAACGGAATAATTTCATTTTCAATATGTTTTTATTCATGATCTATAGAGTTACGAGAAACTCGGGGATTTTCGTATATTTACACTAACCTCAATACATTTATCGCACACCTTCACTTTGGATTTCCCATATTTTCATTTCATTTTCTGTTACTTTTTTAGACATTAGTGGCAGATGGTCGATGACCCCCTAAATTTAGGGTCTTTAATATACACATACAAAACCCTAGCTGTGATAATCAGCTTTATGAGAAAGTCTTCATTGAAAGGGTCTTCCATTTCTTAAGATAAATCCATCACCTAGCTAATAGCTATATCTTATTGTGTAGTGTTCCTCCATTTTGTTTTATTTGTGTAACATTACCGTGATGTTGGAAAGCATCTGCTAAAGACAAAAGCCTCCACTGATAAATCTATCCCTTTCTTTTCTAAGTGAATGGGTGGGACAGTCCGGACTGCCTAATGAATTAAAAGCTTTTCTCTTAGGTCCGATTACCTGTGATGTTTCCAAACAGCTCTAGAAATAACATCTTATTGAGAGCTACAGGAAATAAGTCTTAAGGACACTGTGTGTTGTCGAAGTACCACACCCAGCACAATCCTCTCTCAGGAAATTATTACTTCATCACAATCTCCATCTTTCCACATTACCTGTCATCGCGAAAATTTGGCGAATATTGAGAAAATAATCGTGCCTTTTACGATGTCTATCTTCAGAACCTGCACGTGTATCGGAAATAAGAAGCCTTTAACGCAACGGTTGAGAATGGGTTTCCAAACATAGTTTTATCTAGTTACAAAAAGTGTTTTCACATTATAAAGGTAACAGAATACTGACAGTAAATTATTGGATGAAACTCAACTTAAACAGGTATATCTTTCTTTCTGTATAGCTTAACTTTAAAGATGATAAACATCTCAGTAGAAAGAAAGGTTTGTTTAGCTTAAAACATGTATATTTTTTTTTTTTTTGCCAGGGTTTATCATACAAGTGTTTGTAGATAAAACTAACGTTTGTGTTTAATAGTTAACCTGTTCTAATTAAGCTAATCTATTCTACTGATATAAAAAAAATGTTACAACAAAATTTTGTTGATTGATCTAATCCGGATACTTAATAAATTGAAAACTAGGAGACTTGAGAACGGAATCGATTAACACTGTTAAAAGTTAGCAACATCAGAGAGTTCCCATGTCTTTCGTTGAAGTCCCTAAAGTTTCAGTTTCTACTCTAGCCTTATCAATGCTAAGTTTATATTTTGGCTAAAATCCTGTGAAGTTTTATATCTCAGAGAAGATTTAGTTTTTAAACAATAGCTATTAACAAACTGTTTTTAAACCAAACTGATCTGAAGCTGCGATTTCTACTGTTTATATATAAACTGCATTGACAAGTAACGATATTTTTACTATACTATATTGATAAGTAACGATATTTTTACAATACTACATTGATAAGTAACGCAAATTTTACTAGACTATATTGATAAGTAAGGAAACTTATCAATGTAGTCTAGTAAAAGTTTCGTTACTTATCAATGTAGCCTAGTAAAAATATCGTTACTTAACAATGTATTCTAGTACAAATAGCGTTACTTATCAATGTAGTCTAGTAAAAATATCGTTACTTATCAATGTAGTCTAGTAAAAATATCGTTACTTAACAATGTATTCTAGTACAAATAGCGTTACTTATCAATGTAGTCTAGTAAAAATATCGTTACTTAACAATGTAGTCAAGTAAAAGTTTCGTTACTTATCAATGTAGTCTAGTAAAAATATCGTTACTTAACAATGTAGTCTAGTAAAAATATCGTTACTTAACAATGTAGTCTAGTAAAAATAGCGTTACTTATCAATGTAGTCTAGTAAAAATAACGAAACATTTACTAGACTACATTGTTAAGTAACAATATTCTTACTAGACTACATTGTTAAGTAACGATATTTTTACTAGACTACATTGTTATGTAACGATATTTTTACTAGACTACATTGTTAAGTAACGGTATTTTTACTAGACTACATTGCTAAGTAACGATATTTTTACTAGACTACATTGTTAAGTAACGGTATTTTTACTAGACTACATTGCTAAGTAACGATATTTTTACTAGACTACATTGTTAATTAACGATATTTTTACCAGGCTACATTGATAAGTAACGAAACTTTTACTAGACTACATTGTTAAGTAACGATATTTTTACTAGACTACATTGTCAAGTAACGGTATTTTTACTAGACTACATTGATAAGTAACGATATTTTTACTAGACTACATTGTTAAGTAACGATATTTTTACTAGGCTACATTGATAAGTAACGAAAATTTTACTAGACTACATTGTTAAGTAACGATATTTTTACTAGACTACCTTAATAAGCAACAATATTTTTCGTAACCTCTTATACAGGTTGATTATTAAGTAAATTACATTCAGTATTTATATTTCTCTGCATATTTCCAGTGTTTATGTTGTTTAGATAAGTAGAAATATTGTTCGTTTTGTCTTTTTTGCATCATTGCTGTTACACAACCGTTCGTTTTTTGTTTTTGTTTTTTGCATCATTGCTGTTATACAACCGTTCGTTTTTTGTTTTTCGTTTTTTGCATCATTGCTGTTATACAACCTTTGAATACATTATTATTGAGGTCAGAATATTTATTGTATCAACTGAATATTTTCGTATTTAAATATTAAGTCGACATCATCTTTCTGGTAGATTTTGTCTAATTACAATTGAAAATTGAAGTGGGCATTATTCCTTATAGCAGACAACAGTTTATTTTTCTCTTTGAAATTCCAGTAATGGAAACTTTTGTTAAAGCTCTTGACCTTTACGCTGATATTTATTCTAGTCGTTAATCTTAACTCAGCAACATGATAAAGATGGAACCTACTTTTCGTTGACTCGGCTTCTCGCTGACAGCTGTTTAGTCCAGAAGTCCTACATGTTTATCCGTGCACGTCCAAAACAGTCACGTTCAAGAAGTGGATTGTTCGACAGCTGCCTGCAAAGCCCAACCATCAATAATTCTGGTAAAAATAAACGCTTGGTAAAACGCTCTGTGTGACTTAGGCAAAACATCACCCTTTTCAAATGTATCAATATCTAATTCGACAATGTTTATATTGGTCCTCTTCGAAACAAATCACGTTACTTCTTCCCCCCTCACCTGTTAAAGTAATGACCTATCAAACAAAATCTTTAACTCGCATTAAACTACTTCAAAGACTTATTATCAGGCCTATTTGACCTGAGATAAAGTTGACTTTGAATTAAGTATTATTACTACCTAGATGTACGAAAAATCGACTCTGTAGGTCCCATATTAGGCGCAAAAACAAACCATAAAATGACAAAAGTTTTATAGAAGTAACTTCGTAAACGTTCTAGAACGTTTCACATTTGAGGGGTCAAACTTAACAATCAACAACTTTACATGAATACAAAAAGTAGATTAAAACGATTTGTATATTGTTTACTCTTTAAGATGCTGTCATGTTAAGGTCTATATGGCGTGTGAATTTTCTGCTCTGTGAAAAAGGGATTTAAACAAGAAGCAACAGGTGTTATGTGTTGCTAGCCTAGAGAAGAACCCAGCGATTAGTAACAATCGAAACACTTTGCCCTTGGTAACAATCGAACCATGTAGCACTTAGTAATAATCGAAACATTTAGCACTTAGTAACAATTGAAACATTAGCACTTAGTAACAATCGAAACACTTAGCACCTAGTAACAAACGAAACATTTAGCAGTAAGTAACAATCGAAACACTTGGTACTTAGTGGCAATCGAAACATTTAGCACTTGGTAACAATCGGAACGCTTTCCACTTAGTAACAATCGAAACACTTAGTATTTAATATATGCAGTATTTTTTTATGACCACAAGGCTAAGTGTAATAATGAATGCCATCGTATTTTCAACTTAGTGACACCTTATGCGACACATGGGCTAAATGGCCAGGTCAAAGACCGGAGATTCATGCATAGCCGATCCTAATTTGAATGTGCTGACCAAAGAGAGGGCAACGACTTAGCAGCCCCCATAACCGATATAATTACTCTTAACTGGATAGTGGATTTGTCTGTTGCTTTTATATATTCGCTTAAATTTAAAACCGTGCCAGTAGCATATCGAGGATTCAAACCTTGTACCTTTGGATAAGCAGACCGGCATAAAAACTATTACGTCACACTCGGGCCACTTTTTTTGTTTATATTTGGCATGATTTTGCATCTATAATCCAAATGATATACATTATGTTTGCTGGAAACTTTGAAAATGGACCTTCGTGATCGATCAAACTGACGCCTCAGTTGTTAAGTTTTTAAGAGTTAACTATTCCTAGAGCATAAAAGTTTCAAAACACCAGAGATTCTAATACACTTGGGGTCGTAGCTTTATGTTCTGACTCCACCAAATCTCACATCTTCTACAATTCCCAGTTGCTGTATGAATATTCTAATAGGCTTGGGGTCGTAGCTTTATGTTCTGACTCCACCAAATCTCACATCTTCTACAATTCCCAGTTGCTGTATGAATATTCTAATACGCTTGGGGTCGTAGCTTTATGTTCTGACTCCACCAAATCTCACATCTTCTACAATTCCCAGTTGCTGTATGAATATTCTAATACGCTTGGGGTCGTAGCTTTATGTTCTGACTCCACCAAATCTCACATCTTCTACAATTCCAAGTTGCTGTATGAATATTCTAATACCCTTTGGGTCGTAGTATTATGTTCTGACTCCACCAAATCTCACATCTTCTACAATTCCCAGTTGCTGTATGAATATTCTAATACGCTTGGGGTCGTAGCTTTATGTTCTGACTCCACCAAATCTCACATCTTCTATAATTCCCAGTTGGTGTATGAATCTGTTAAAGTCATCATACTATTCTCCTTCGAACTATATATATTCTACTTGACATTGAAAAACAATTAAAGCAAAACAGAGAGAATTTTCTCAACCATCTTAATTTGAGAATGCTGGTATCTGGAAATAACAGCAGTGATTAAAATATTCCCTCTTTCTCCGTTTTTTTACCCTTCAATTCCTTGTATGAGGTATATGTGAGAGCAGGGCTTAAACTCCATTCTTACCTTTCAAATCCTAGTAAATGATGAGTAACAGTATGGATTATTTATCCATCCAATCATAGCATGTGGCAAGTGACACCAAGGACTGAAGAAGTCTCTCTCCTTTCTTACCGTTCCAATCCTAGCATGACACTCCTGACAGAGTTTTAATTTTATTTCTCTCTCTCTTGCCGTTAAAATTCCATTATCTATCTATCTATATATCAACATATTTTTAAAATTTCGAATTAAACCACACATGAATACGCCATTAAAGTAGTCACTTATTATTGTAGTTGTTACCTTTAACTGCACAGAACACTCTTCTACATAATTCACAGACAGAACAAACGAGAGAACGTACATTAAAAAGCTTTGTTTTAAGAAACCCGTATATATTTACACCAGCACTTTGTATCCATAGTTTCAACAAAACCTGTCGTGTGTCCTACAGTTGTTGGTATCTTGGTGATATAAAGAGACCGTCTTTTCTAAGTGGTTGTTCAGAGAAACTAACAATTCTGTATATTAATCTCAGGTGTTAGGGAATAGAAGCATTCTAAAAGTGTTAGTGTAATAATCTTGTGTTACATGATCACTAGGTTATGAGCAATGTTCTTACCATAATGTAAAAGCTTAATTTTATATGCTGCCAATATATGGAACAAGAACAAAACACTTAGAAATTTTAAGTCTAAATCTTATGAGAGGTACACACTGATATAAAGACCTGGCATACGAAAAAATTATATTGCTTTTTATCATTATCGCAGAGTTTAATTTATGCCTGTACAAGAATCGTCTCCTCCTCCCTTTTGAAATAATTTTCTAAATCCCTTATTTACGTTTACTTTTAAATCTCGTGTTTGACTGTGTTAACGTCTTATATCGTAAAGATAACCTTCATACTCAAAACATAATAACCCGCTTCTACACGTCTTAGTTAATCAGTTCCGGTGATCGATATCACTATGCCGGCGGAAGACGTTTGGTTTGTTTTGAATTTTGCGCAAAGCTACACGAGGGCTATCTGCACTAGTCGTCTCTAATTTAGCAGTGAAAGGCTAGAGGGAAGGCATCTAGTCATCACCACCCACCGCCAACTTTTGAGCTACTGTTTTACCAACGAATAATGGGATTGACCGTCACATTATAGCACCCCCACTGCTAAAAGGGCGAGCATGTTTAGTGTGACAGGGATTCGAACCCGCGACCCTCATATTGCAAGTCAAGCGCCCTAACCGCCTGGTCATGCCGGACCCCAGGAACAGACGGACCGACGTAAAGAGAAATGTATATTTTAACAGATGTTTAGATGTTACATAGATGTAACTTTTATGGGTTAAAGAAACGTTTTTCTAGAATCCTTCAGAATGTTAACGGAACTTATGAAAAATCACAAATTTGTCAAATATATCCTCTGTCAAAATACAGGAACGGATCAGAGAACTGTCAAAATACAGAAACGTTTGCTCAAACGGATCAGATAAATGTCATAATACAGGAACGTTTGCTCAAACGGATCCGATAACTGTCAAAATACAGGAACGTTTGCTCAAACGGATCAGATAACTGTCAAAATACAGGAACGTTTGCTCAAACGGATCAGAGAAATTACGGATCTGGTTTTCGATCCGTGTTAATCCTCAATTAGGTTCATTCAAGTAAAAATAAATAATTACGATAAACAGTTAATATTAAAATGCCGTGTTAATACTTATTATTAATAATTACACTAATTCTGTACTATAAATGACTGAAAGAAAATTGATAAAAATTACACTTCGTTAATTAATTTAGTTCATACCATAATAGTTGTTCGTGCAGATAATATAAATAGCATCTCAACCACTACTGTCTCTCGTATCACAGTCGGTCTGAAGAACCTTATAGTATTGAGCGAAATGCCTCGTCAGCACTTGATATATCAGATACAATGTGGTTGACTTAGTGCAATACATTCTTCTTTACTTTCACTAGCGGCACAGTGGCATGTCTGCGGAGCTACAACGCTAGAATCCGGGTTTCGATACCCGTGGTGGGCAGAGCAACGATAACTTATTGTGTAGCTTTGTGCTTAATTACAAACAAACAATACTTTCACTATAGGCTCTTAGAATCTATTAGTGCTTACGTTTTGATACAATATAGTAAAAAAAGCTTCCATTAAAGAAAAATTTCTTTCATGTCAAATCAAGTAGTGAGATAAAAAATAAAAAAAACGTTACTTGAGATGATTTTTTTATTTTTCATGTGTTAATCTATTATCTTATAAGTTTCTATGTTTAATGCAACATTTTACAAAGTTTATGTGCTTTGATGCCTAGTGTGAGTTTTCATGTGGATCCATGTGCTAATCCGTTATTTCAAAGAAATGTAAGTATGTAAGTTCATATAAGTTTATGTGCTACCTGAGAAGATTTACGTTGTTTCGTGTGTTAATGTGTTATTGCAGATAATTCTCACGCATTTTCATGCGTTAATGGTGGAAAGATGAAAAACAAATTTAGAAACGTGTTGTAGCCTTTATCAACTTCGAGTTTCACGTGCCCTAATTAAAAAACAGAGTTCTCAAATGTCATATTTATTTTTTACAGTTACGCTTTCCACAATCAATGTTGCTTATAAAGCTTATCCCTAGAAGAATGTGTTCACGAACCCAATATCCCAACTAAAAGTAAATATTTAATCTCATATAACATTTATTTTACTTCTGGAGTAAAAGTGATTTGTTCAGCTACTGTTTGAAGTGAAATAAATCATTTGTTGGATTAACTAGGCTAGTGGATTATACGCTCAACTGCTGTTTTTGAAGTAAATTAAATCATTTGTTGGGTTAACTAGGCTAGCGGATTATACGCTCAACTGCTGTTTTTGAAGTAAATTAAATCATTTGTTGGGTTAACTAGGCTAGCGGATT